TATTTACAAACAAATCATCAAAGTTTATAAATATTTAATATATGTTTATGTTTGGAACCAGGGTTGGTCCGTCCAGAACTGTGGCGGAGGTCACTCAGGTCGTTAAAAAGCTCCGGGGGTGGATGAGATTAGAGCCGTCATTTCTAACTCGAAACCCAGATTAGGGCTGTTATGTCATTAACGTGCAAGCTGGGCCGGTCTCAGGCTTTGAGGTGGTTTTACGACTCATACAGCACAAATAAAAATAATAAAAGCACGATATAAAATTGAGTTAATCTTCTTGTAGAGGAGGAGGCGGGTCCAGTCTTGACAAACAGGTAGAACTGCATCAGTAGTCTGGAACATTTCACTAAAGATGAAACTTCTGGTTCAACTACCGTGAGGAAACAGGAAATGAATCAACTTCCTGACTGTTTGGAGCTCCTTGTGAACCGGTGTTGTACCATATTCTGTGACCACCGTATACTGTGACCGTAGGGGGCGGTGTTGCATGCACTGTTGCAGGTCACAGAATATGGTGCAACACCGGGTCCAATCCACCGAACCAGAACCAGCTTCCTCTGACCTCGTTTCACAAACTAAAAGCAAAAAATTTTAATTTCTAAACCTATAAAAAATTTAAAAATAAAACTATAAACATATTAATCTCTAAAACTAACCCTAATGTGCACCACAGCTGGTGGTGGTGTGGTCGACCCCCCCCCCCCACTGGTTTTAGTTTTGTTTTTTAAGTGCCGCACGTTTCTTCACTTTTGCAGTTTAATAATAAAAACTGATAGTTTAGTTTTTCCCGTGAATTATTTGCAGTTTGATAAATGGGAGGAGCTAAATATACGCTCCCAATGTTTTGTTGGTCTTTTTTGTAAATGACCTTTTTTGCCGTTTTATTTATTTATTTTTGTATCTTTAGATCCCATGATGTCATCAAGTGCTCGAGTTTTATTGTGTTAATGTCGAGTTTAAAAATTCTGTAGTTGTTCAACCCCTAGCAGCTGGACTCTCCCTTAGAGACGGGGTGAGTTCACGAGGAGAGACTCGGGTAGACCACTGCTCCTCCACATGGAGGAGCCAGCTGAGCTGGTTCATCTGGTAAGGACGCTTCCTGGGCACCTCCCTAGGGAGGTGCTTCAGGCATGTCCAACCGAGGAGACCATGGGGGAGACCAGGACACGCTGGAGAGACCACCTTGGTGTCTCCCAGAAGATCTGGAAGAGGCTGTGGAGAGAGAGGTCTGGACCTCCCTGCTCTGATGCTGCCCCCCCAGACCTGAGTCCACAACAAGATGATGGGAACCACGGTGTAAATATTTGTTTACAAACAAAATCATCACAGTTCAAGAAAAATAAAGCTCCAAGAAAAAAACGAGTTTTGGCCCCACCTTTGGTGATGTCGGCCCCCTTGTTGATGGAGGCGAACAGGGCGTTCCGGTTTTCAGCATCGCCGCCCGCAGGCTCGCCCAGGGCCATGGAGGGAGGGGGAGGTCCGGGGGGAGGTGGGGGAGGACACCCACCAGCAGGAGCACTGGGGGGGGGCAGAGGAGGCTGAAGCCGCGGGACCCTGAGGAGGAAATGGGTCGGCAGCTCAAATGAAGAACTAGAACTTTGAATCTGAGAACTTCAGAACCTGAGAGGGTTCAGTCAAAGGTCAGAACGTTCAGCAATAAGAACCCCCCCCCCCCCCCAATCTGGACCCATACAGATGATTCCGAGCCAGACTCACAGTTCTGCTCCAGCTCAGTCCGGTGGTGTGGTGCTGTTTGATGTAGTTCTGCAGCTCGGTCCAGATGGACACGTAGGCCTTCACCCAGTCCACATGCACCTTGTCCCTGTGAGGACGACAAGACCTTAGACAGGAAACGGGAAGCGGCGTGCCGCCCTACGGGAAGCGGCGTGCCGCCCTACGGGAAGCGGCGTGCCGCCCTACGGGAAGCGGCGTGCCGCCCTACGGGAAGCGGCGTGCCGCCCTACGGGAAGCGGCGTGCCGCCCTACGGGAAGCGGCGTGCAGCTTTACTCACTTGTCCTTGTACTCCTTGAGGACCCGGTTGGTGTAGAACATGGCAGCGTCCTGCATCTCTTTGACGTACGGGCCGGGCTTCGGATCCTGGACACAAACAGAGTTTGACCTTTGACCTGAAGGAGGAAGACACTTCCACACCGACAGAGTTTAAGACGCCACGGTTTGGGTTTACAGCAGAACCAGAACCATCTGTTGTTCAGGCGTTCAGCGGGCCGAATGAAAGAGCGCCTTGCTTAACACACACACACACGTTACCATGGCAACCCATCCGAGGGCGGGAACGCTCTCGCTGACGGCAGAGAGGTGGTTGAAAAGCGGAGAGGTCCGGTTCTGCTCGCGGAACGTCTGAACCTGCTGGATGGTTTTAGAGACGGGATCCAGGAGGGACTTCAGGACCGCCTGCAGGAACAGCCAACAACCGTAAACAACAACAAACAAACAGTAAACAACAACAAACCACTTCCTCTGACTGAACTGATCAAAGGGTGTTTACGATCGATCGGTGGGTCTCACCCGGACGCTTCTGGAAGATCAGAACTTTATTTTCTACATAAATATTTATTTATTTATCAGAGAACTTTCTGTGGTTTCACAACAAACAACAACAACAAACAAACAAACAGCCGCCTCACTGCAACAGACGAGTCTCTAAGTTAAACACTGATCCGTCTGGAGGTTCTGACTGAATCCTGCTTCAGCAGGCACAAGGTTCTGGTCAAGGCCCGGCTGGGTGAACTCACGTCCGAGGGCTTCTGGGAGGAGGAGGCGGTGACGAGCAGCTGCCTCTGGCTGGAGAACGCCTGCTTCATCATCTCGGCCTGAGGAAGACGAGGGACAACAGACTGTCAGCAGGTTCTGTCCGACTCCAACAGGGTCTGCTACCTGCAGAACCAGAACCACCTGGATATCCAGGAGTTTGTCTGCAGATGTTCTGCTGTGATGCTGATCAGAGCAGTTCATATTTGAACAGAGCCACGGCCTATAAAGGGGGCGGAGTCAGTTCACGACACCTGAGCAGGTGACCTACATGTTTCTGGACGTCTCCTCCGATCTGCTGGCTGAGGGACAGGTACTGGGCCACGGCGCCGCTGACGATCGCATCGTAGGCTTCGACGAACGCTGCCACGGCTGCAGGAAGAGAGAGAGGAAAAACAGGAAATGATGTCATTCAGGAGAACGAGCAGATTGACTGGTTCTTCTCAGGACCGGTTCCGTCTTTTAAAAGAAGTTCTGATGAGAAACATTGTGAACGAAAACTGAGGAACCCTCTGAAAGACCTCCATGACACCTAAAGAAAGGAGAACCGGATCAGAACCAGAGAGCTGGTTACCTCCCCCAGCAGAGCCTCCGGCGCTGCCCCCCGGGCCCGACATGGACTCCAGACGACCCACCGCCACCTCCAGCCGCTGCACTAGACTCGCCAACTCTGCCATACCTGCGAGGAGACAGGAACGTCAGGTTCTGAGGTTCTGGTGGACAGCTGAGACAAACGGTCCCTCGGGTTCTGACCGTCTCAGGTCCAAACTGAGGAACTAAAACGTTTTGATTCTAGAAGGTTTCAGAGGAAAAGCAACGACATGCGATAAAAACGGAGCGGGCACATCTGGCAGCAGATGTTCGCCTCTCGAGGGTTTCAGCCGGTCGAGTCCTTAACGAGCTGCAGGTTCTGCTGCTCTGACCCGAACCACAGCAAGCAGAACCGAGCCTGAACACAACGGTGAGGACTCGGACCAGGACACACCCAGTGTTCAGTCAGGCTTCTTGGAGGACACCTCAGCTCGTCTCAGATGAGACGGACCAGGACTGAATGTCCTCCTGAGTTCTCGGGTCGGGTCTTTGGGATCACAGAGGACCCGATAATGAAGCTCAGGATGTCGTTGTCCGTAAACAGCTCAAACCATGACAGCACCTCCTCCGTGCTCCAGTTTATAAAAACTGTTCGAGTTCAACAGAAAGCTCTGAAGACCTTCAGGAAGTGCAGATGGACGTGCAGAACCTGACGGTCCTGGTTCTGTCCCGTTGGGACACCTGTGTGGTCTCAGCCTCCTCATCCAGAACATTTGACAGTTTAGATTTCCAGATGCAGAAACCAGTGACCCCCTGATCCTGGACCAGAGGGAGAAACCAGTGA